CCCGGAGCATTGGGGCTTGGTGATGAGGCGGCAGAGGAGAGGATAGTGGAGGAGATATGCGACCAAGTGCAGCGTGGCTTTAACGAAATAGCCTAGACTAGTAGACTAGCTTCCGTTTCGTGATTGTAGCTTAATAATGTTTAATATCTTTGCCTATTGGCTCCTGACATTCTGCATCTGGTGAGCATTTCGATATTCTGCCTCATTTCATGTTATGCACAGAACAAGACCCTGCCGATCAATTGCTACACAGATTGTGGCTCAGCGTGTCCCAGGTTCGGACTCGGGAAACCCGATAACCCCACAAACGGTGCACAGCATGTCACTCGACGATATTAGTGGTTCAGCCCTGCACCGTTAGCGGTTAGTTTGAGCTTACAGGCTTGTGTCTGGTGTGTGTGCGCGTGCGGCTGTGAACTGCGCCTACCTAACCTTAGTCCTACTGAGTGGTCTGTGACATGAAGAAGCCTTGTCGGCTTTTTGTCAGCTAAGGCGGATTCAGTGACAAGCTAAGCCAAAGCAGCTCGTCTGCTGTAACGGGAGACATGGAGCGATCGTGGTATTTAAAAGGCGGGGGGGGAGCTGTCGTTTTGAGTTTCCATCCATCATCATCTCGTCTAGTTATCTACCAGTCACTCAAGCAATCCTATTGATCAATTTCTCCATCTATTTTCTACCTACCTTAGTACCTATTACCTGCCTACAGAACCAACATGTCTGCCAACGATTATTACGGCAGTGGTAACAGTGGCTACGGCCAGCAGGGTGGTTATCCTCAGCAGCAGAACTATGGTCAACCTCAAGGCTATCCTCAGCAGGGCGGCTATCCCCAACAGGTATGTTTCTCATCTCAACTCCTCTATGCCACCACTAACAACATTTCAGCAGCAGTACTCCCAGCAACAACAGCCTCAGGGCTACGGGTACAGCCAGCAGCAGCCTCAATACTCCTCCCACTCGCCTCAGCCCACCTACGGCTCGCAAGCTCCTCCTCAGCAGCAGTATGGCCAACAGCCCACCTACGACCAGCGCGGCTCATCGTCCTATCCTCAACAACAGCACAACAACCCTCAGTATGGCGCCCCCGCTTATCCCCAGGGCGGCGCTCCTGGACAATATCCTCCCGGCCAGCCCGGCCCCGACGGTGATCGTGGTCTCGGAGCTACTCTTGTTGGTGGAGGTGCCGCTGCCTGGGCTGCGCACACAGCCGGTGGTGGTCTTCTAAGCAGTCTCGGAGCTGCGGCTGCTGGTGCTATCGGTGCCAATGTGCTCGAGAACAAGTTCAAGAAGGGCAAGAAGGACAAGAAGCACAAGAAGGATAAGAAGCACAAGTCCCGCGGCATGGACAGTAGCTCCAGCAGCAGCGATTCTGACTAACGATGGTTGTTCCTGATGGGATACGGAGTTTAGGTGTTATAGCAATTATTTTTTAGATTTATCTTCGGAATACGACGAATACTTGGTAACTTGAACTTTATGGGATTTTTATAAGTGACAATAGACTAAAGCATATGCAATACTACACATCACATTCTGAGTTTAGATCCTAAAAATAAGCTTATATGCCAAGCTTTCAAGCTTCTTGGCTGAAATCATAGCTATTCCCAAATCCTCGGTTCAGGTAACTCTCAAGCACGGACTCCCTGCTCGCCCAATCCACTGGTACATCCAACCCCAGCCTTCCCTCGCTTTCTAGGCCTTCTAGAAACGGCTTTATATCTTCACCCAGCTCGAGTCTCATTCTGTTCCTGAACCACGGCGCAAAGTGGATCATGGCAAGCATCACCCTAGTCTGTTGAGTGGTATTGGGCATGCCAGCATGCCAGAGTCTGAGATCGCGCACGACGATGCTGCCCTTCTTAATGACGGGCTGCAAAGGCGGTGAGACCTCTTGACGCTGGCGTAGGAGTTCTTCTCTAATGCGACCGCTGGCTCTCTCGCCATGTGCACCCTCTTGTGCATCTAGGCCAAACCCATTGTGGGTGCCAAGCCAGATCTCTGTGGATCCATTCTCTGGTGTAGTTGTGACGAGAGGAATATTCACGACAAGGGCAAAGGGATGGTCTGGGTGTGCAAAGTCCGCATCTGAATGCACAGGCTGGCGCTGAGGAGTTGCTCCAGGAAGAGTTGCCATTGCAGAATTGGCAGAGCAGAACGTCCACTTTGGCCGAGGGCCCATCATGGCAGTAGTGATCTGTGTAGCAATTGGGTCTGAGACACGTGAGAAAGTTGAGGTAGGACAAGTTCGTAGAGGTATACTTACTTATGAAGATAGAAGGGCTAAAGTATTCAAAAACTGGAGGAGCATCTTGTTGAATATTTCCCTTGTTGTAGTTGAAAGGGCCCTTGTCACCTCGAGCCTGTAGGGTATGAGCATCCTCAATCATCTTCTTGTTGAGGATGTCGATGTCCTCGTGAGGAACAACATCTTCCACAACAACCAAGCCATCTCTATGTACGTGTCGCACGGCTTTCTCAAGGTTTCTGGAGTCTAGAGTCCGATTCTTCACTTCTTGGGTTGAAGGTCGGACAACTCCGACCTGTGGAGGTTGTGTTATTGTTGCAAAGGTGCGTGCATGTTTCGCCAGGGCCGAGAAAAGCTTTTGGGTGCGCAACATGATGAAAGACCTTAACAGTAGTATGTGATGGGAGTTGGGATATTTTGAATGAGTCTGAAGACCTGTTTTTGATGCTCCTGGGGGTAGAAAGACCTCCTCATTTATACTTGTAACGAGTAAACTTGGTTATGTAGGTTTCCCGAGTTCGGAAAACCTTTCCCCACTGGTATGGATTCTTGGCCGCCACGATGCAACAGCTTGTCGTGAAGAGATTTGTCAATGAGAGTTCTTCATGTAACATTTCCTGCGGCTTTGGCGATTATAGCACGTTACCTGGTCACAATATTGACACTTTACTCTTGGTCCATCCCCCAAGATCCCTTTAGATCACCAATGAGTCGCTCGACTGGCCATCCTATGGTTGATTTACATGTGAGTAGTTGCCGAATCAGCTCCTGCTGCGACGCCTCGGCTTTGATAAATCTTGCGCCTACCCAAAGGTCAGATTTTATGGCGTAGACGGGACAGTATTACTTACAAAAAGCTATTGGCCCGAATGCATTTACCAGAACTGACGGCACCTTGGCAGTGAAAGCAATGCCGCATATCTCAAGGGCAAAGTACTCGAGAAACATTTCTTTGGACTGAACTTCGAGTCCAGGTAGATGAAGACCGCCTAGGTCCTCTAGGCTTCTTGGGGAAGTGTAGATGCAGACTATTGTCATTGCGACAAGGTAATAGTGAAGTATCGCAGCTAGTCGGCATTAGAGACATTGCTGTTTCGGGACAGAGAGGAACTTGGCTCACCATGGCAAGGCTGCAGGAACCAGATTGCAGGGAATAGATGAGATGCGGTACTCTCGCCTTGAAGTCTTGAGTAAGGCTTCATGTGACGCGGGCAAGAATTCCGCCAGCTTTTGAGGTCTTCCTTTATGTAGTCCCACTGACGGCCATCTGTGTTTTGTTTGAAAGACATGTTGATTATCTTGCCCAGGATTAGAGTAATAGAGTTGAGATAATCTTGGTCAGAGCTATGCTGGATGGTCAATGGTGTACTCTCGAGGTCCATTTTCAACGGACACTCCTCAAATAGACTGAATGTTATGTCCTCTCTGAGATAGTTCCAGAAGCCTGCACCTAACAGCCCGGCTTGTGGAATGCCTGATAGCACGTCATGGAGCGATGCCATGGAGTAAGCACCACGAAGATGCATGTTGGGATCAACATCACCGTCAAGAATCTCGTATGAACGCAAAAGGCATGTCGCAGCGAGCGCTACACCTCGACCGATAAGCTCATCGCCTGAATCCAGTGCGATGAGAAATTGAACACAGCGATGATGATAGAATTCAGCGACTTTGCGAAAACTTGGAGCTGATGTTTTACACGCATGCATGGAAGAGAGTGCGATGACAGCACAGAAGAGAAGAGGCTCGTCTAGGGCAATGGATGGAACTTCAAGGCCAAAAGAACACGCTGAGTCGCTGAGGTCATACCATTCCGAGATAGTAGAGGTGTAAGCATGGAAGAGGCGCGCTATGTTCTGGTCTTGTAGAGCTGTTCGTGGAGAGTCAGGGTTGGGTAATTCTTGGTGGTGGACTTGCTGAGCAGTCAGCTAAGTAACTCAGAAAGAGTGAGACAACAGACTGAAGCGGGTTGGTTTCTTTGATCTATCGCAGTAAAGACCGCTCGTTGTGCATTGTCCACAGATGGGAAGTGCTTGATTGCCTGCTACACGCATCAGAACAAGGTCTTGGGAATAGGTAGCGTCACTCTTACACTTTATCTTGCGACGACGGCAAGTATTGCTCCATCTATGTTAGCTGAGAGATGCTTTCCCAAGTTAATTAAGCTTACCAAATTCCTTTCTTGGTAGGTCGTGGCATCTTCACATCAAATTCGAGTCATGATGAGTTGGTTATGTTGTTGGATGGAGGAGGCAAGTGGATGTTGCTTACCTTAGTTATAATGACTCCAATACACGATTGTGGGGTTTGCTTCAATTCAATATGCGTAGGTACAGCACAATGAGATAAGCAATTTGATTCAACGTCTCCCGGCTTAAGCGACACCAAATCAAATAAATATGTAAATTGATATTCCATTCATTTCACGATTTCTGGGACTCAAGTATTGGATGACCACGGGCAGCAAGAAACCTTAGGACCTCAATCTTGAATAACAAAAGGATTTAGGTAAGTTATCATAAACTTAAGGCGGTCTTAAATAAGTTGATATCATCTTTACTTAAGAATAGAATTTTCTTACACTCTAAGGGATAATAGTTGCTGAATCTCTTATATACATAACTCTCAACTCATCATGGTCCGCAAATAACCATTACCAAAGGCCGTGTGAATCCAATCATTTAAACAAGAGTCTAGGCTATCTAACATACCATCGCCATGTCTTCAAAACAATCTAGTAATCTATAGAAATGAATCACAAACGACAACATCCAACAGGATTCTCAACATCCCGTCTGCAATAACATGACGACTCGATAGGCACATCCACAAAAGCCATAGCCGTCTTAAGCTGCTGCTTTATGATCCGCGCCTCGCCGTCGAGTCCCAGCTTCACTGCACACTCGTGATAGCCGTGGAGGGCCCAGACATTGTTAGGGTGATGTCTTGCCCTGAATAGCTTGTTGTTCAACCCGAGGTCGGTGCGATATACTTCAGCAGCTTCTTCGATGCGGCCTTGTTCCATGAGGAGAGCGGCGTACGCATGACGGGCGGGTTGCATCCATGCCCACGGCTCAGCGTATCGCAGACCATCATCGAGATCGATTGACTTTCGGAGATGCTCAAAGGCAAGCTCAATGTTGCCCCGTCGGTACTCAAGCTCGCCATCGAGCATGGCCTCAGCCACAGCTAGGACATCAAGGCACTTATTAGGGTACTGTGTACGAGTTGGCGGCACACGAGCTTTGGCAGCAATGAAGAGTTCTCGTTGCTTAGCTGACTCTTCAACATTTCCCAGCGCCGCATAAGCAACACCCTTGGCATAGTGAATCGTCGCGGTGGTCACGCAGAGCAGTTTCTGGTCCACAGGAAGTGGCATGTCAATGATTTCCTCCCATTTTCCAAAGCGGATGAGGATATGTGGACGAACTGATCGGAAGGTTTCTAGCCAATCTGCCATCGGGGGCGACTCAATTCGTAAATCTTGGTCTGGAATAGCCACTTCCATTTGGTTCACTGCTTTGATCGAGACACCGTACTGGCCAGCAAACATGGCGGCGTAGATGAGTGAGTGGTAGTCATGCATACGGTATATGGTGTAGAAGTCGCCACCGCCCCGAAGGGATACAAATTTCTCATCAGCTATGACAGCTTTTGCATTAGCAGAGATGGCACGCCGATAGTCTCCGATGAGGATGTCGAGATGCGAAGGCATGTGAGCCAGGTGGCCTGCTTCATTTGCCAATCTGCGAAGATGTTCGGCTGCAAGAAGACCCTTTTCAGGCTCGGTTGACATTTCGGTGACGTGAATGTAGGCATGCAAGAGTCCGATATGTTCATATCCGCCTTCCTGAGCTAGACCTCTTTCAAGAACTTCTTGAGTCTCTAGAACCTCAGAACCGGGCGCAGGCTTCCCTGTTCGGACGTCCCACAGAGCCCATGGCGTGAGATTCATGAGTGCATCAGCGTACAGGGTTGCGATGTCGAGATCATCTTTGAACTCTTCATAAACAGGTTTCATAGCTTCCGCGTAGGCACTGTTCCAACTCCTGGCATGATTCGTGTCGTTCTCATCTTTGGGATAGCGATGTCGAATGGCACCAGCAAGTGCTCGTTCAATGGGGCTCGCTTTTGAGGCTAGAGCTTCAGCATTTTGGCAGGCTTCAAGGCCTTTCAAAGTGGTGTGCTTGAGATCGTTCCGGTCGAATGCTTTCCATGGCTTGTTGTAGTTGGGACCAAGAGCAAAGGCAAGGCCCCAATATGCGAGGCAACATTCGGGGTCAATCTCAATAGCCCTTTCAAAACAGCGTTCTCCTTCGGCATGGTTGAAGGCGTAGCACCAAACGATGCCATCTTCGACCCATCTCTTGGCCTCTGGCTTGGGGGTAGTAAGGTCACGAGTGAAGGGCGGGAGAACAAACTCTTGTCCGTGAGAGTCATCTGACTTGTGTGTAGACTGTGATGGCCCCATCTTGAACAAGCCAAGAAGTATGAAGTATGAAATGAGGCGAGTGGCTGTCAATAGTAAAAACCCTTGTAACTTAATAAAAGACGTTGTTTAGATGGATGTGGATGTGGATGTGGATGTTGATGGTTGCTGCTGGCCTTCGGGAGATCGCCCCAATATCTTGCGGAGTAGCTGAGAATGCCCCCACTCTTGGCTTGTACCACGTCAAATCAGCAATCGGTGACGTGCGTGTCAATGGCCGAATACGGAGTATAAAAACAATGTGTAGCTACTAACAAGGTCGCGATAATTGAGAATAAAAAAGGAACTCTTAAAGAGGTCCAGAATGAAGAAGGGTGGAAGAATCTGAGATAAGACAATCCTGCCCCTGTAAGCCAATCTCCAGAGAAACAGCCACTACGGAGTCTCCGTGATATATATGATCCATACACCGCTGTTATAAGCTCATGTGATGCAGATACAGGATATAAGGCAGCATGCGGAATTTAGGGTTTTTAGGTTGAATTTATACAAAACTCATCTAATTTGCTCTAATTCTTTCATTCATTTAGGATCAAGGCTAATTATGTGCTTATACGGTAGTGACAGATTTGGATAAGCTTGAGCCCGAAAGCCAGGCCGTGTTAGTGGTTACGGTCAGCATATATCTCGCGGAGTAGTTGTCTCTTTGTTAACAGCCCAATCATAGGCATAGCGAGAATTCACCGTTCAGGAAGCCAACTTAAACAGAATGAAGCAGTTCTGCTGCCGTGGCGTGTTGAGCTTGTAGTTAATCCCACGTGGGACAGGTTATGAAAACTCTAAGCAAGCACCGACAAGTTATATATATGTCCTCTTTTCCCTGTTTCTCGCGATGTTCTGTTCGAGTCAACCGACTTGGACCTCAAATACAAACATGAGAAGTCTTTACAGACGATTCTTCGATCGCCTTCGACGGAGAATCCTTCTGAAGGATCCCCGTGGAAATATCATTTGCCTCCCCCCTGAGATCATCCTAGAAATCGCCGAGCACCTCTCCAATGTCTCGTTGATCTCACTCAGCCTTACCTGTCGACCCTACCACATTCTACTTTCAACATTCACCCGCAATGTTAAACTCGAAGCAACAGAATTGGAAGACTTCCTACAGATACTGGAAAAGGATTGCGCCAGCTCATACTTTTGCTACATCTGTGTGAGGCTTCACCAACGGGACCGACGTGGGATGGTTGATCCCTGTAACTGCTACAAGTGGGATTGCAGAAAAAACTGTTTTCTTCACTTCAACTTTCATATGTGGTTCGACCCCGGTTTGATGATAAAATATGCCGAGGCGCGACTTATCATGAATCGCCATTTCAACGGCCCTACCCACGGACTCTCTCTCGATACGCTTAACTACCATGGAAATATCCATCGATACAATGATGATGGCACAGAACTATGGACATCCATTGCTCGCATAATTCAAGATGAACTATTCCTCCAAAGGACTATGGTGATATGGATTCCAAAATATCTAGGAGTGCAGGAGATTCAGCATGGCCTTTACTTTCCTGTATGCCTTCATGTTCGAAGCAATATCAACTACGGCTGTCGTAGTTCAGCGAGAATAGGTCTATATGGCTTACCAGAAGTGGCAGAACTGTCGGAAGCGTTCAAGTCCTGTGATAACTTACTGGGGTCGTGCCCCATCTGCTTTACTGATTACTCCATAACTATACGTTGGGAGAGTCACCAGAGGCAAGGCTGGCGCATAGAGGTTGTGAGTTATCAGCAGTTTGGTCATTGCCGATCTCCTTATGATTGGAAGTGGAGAGTTGCTGTGGAAAGGAGTACTTGGAACGAACCAAGATGCCGGACTCAGAACCCGGGGCTTGTGCGGCAGCGCTGGATGTGTCCAGATGGCCGCATACAACCAGAGGGCAAGTTTGTTGGCAAGGCTCTCCGAGAGCCCGGTGGTATACTTGGCTCAAGGCGCTGTCCTTGGGGAGCCTCATGCGAAAGGAGGCCAGAGTGTGAAGAGCACTACAATGCGAACCGCCCATCGCAGGATGACATTTTCAGACATCTTGTCGCCTGGTCTGACCCGACTGAAGTTTAACAGACGAACTGCTTTATCTGGCAGATGCAATGAGAGCGGAGGTCACATTTTTGCAAACACCCTGTTGCGGTACCGTTCGTATGAACTGTCTCATAGCAAGAATCTGTTTTGGGTTGTAATCGAAACGAGGGACAAATTCCTGGAGAACAACATCACTATTCAACGCTACACTGGGCAACTGGCTCCCATACAACATCCAATCTTAGCCAAAGAGGTGCTCCTGCTTGGCTCCCTCAGCAGCCTGCAGGTAGCTAACGCGATCACGGCAGTAAAACTCGACATTGATCTTGTTGTCGAGGTTGGCCTTGCCGTTGTCAAGACCACCAGCCTTGATGATGATATTGCCGGGCATGACGTCGAGGCGAGTGTACAGGCTGGAGCCGCAGTCACCACAGAAGAAATGGTGGTTTATCTTGCCCGAGGCGCCAGTGACATCGTATTGCTTGGGAGAGCCTGGGATACATCAGTGTCTGCCTGGCAAAGAGAATTGGTTGAAGGCAATACCCTTGGTGACGGAAAAGTCGCCCTCAGCAACAACAGCATTGGAAGTAAAGGCACCGCCAGTCCACTTCTGGCAATCGATGCAGTGGCAGAGAGCCGTAATAGCAGCGTCGCCTAGGTATCTAGTTAGATGAATCCGTATTATATGATTGGTTCAAGAAACGTACTGTCGCTCTTGTAAGCGATGGCACCACACATGCAGCTGCCAGTAAGAGCCATTGTATAACAAATTAAGCACGAAGCTAGAGTGTCTTTGGGAAAGTGTAAGTTATCAAGGTGTCTATGAGACAATCTGTGGAGTGAAGAAGCTCTCAAGGTTCTCGGACCTGGGATATATATACCTGAGTAGATCTCCGCACAATGAACGGGGGGTCAGTGAGTAATGATTCCCAAGACTGCCCTAGTCACTTAAGCAAGAGTGGGAACTAGTTTGGAATTACTACATCCCCAAGTGGAGAGGGCCATTCTCCGAGAAATATCTCCATTCGCGTTGGAGCTATGTCAGGCTTGAGGGTAAGCAAGTAAATCCCCTTTCTCCGGAGGATTCGCATGAGTTTCTGACAGCAAAGATATTGATGAAACTCTTTACAGACTCGGTCAAGAGGCTCAAGTTTGGAATCAACATGTTCATTCAGAAAGCAGCTATCATCGGATCCGCGTTTTGGGGAGCGGGGAAATGCGTATCCGGATAACAGGTTCCCCAGACATTTTACGTACCATGATTGACCCAGGAAAAGGCGGAGGAATTAAATAACAAGTCCGAAACGAATTGGATCAACTGATTCTCTGGGGAAATGGTCATGGGCTCTTGGCGTGCACTATACTACCGACATCCGTTCCACCGATGCGGGGAATGCCCATAGTCATGAGGAATCATCACCGACGACCCGGCATGTGAGCTCAAGCACAACGAAGCTTTGGAATATTTCATGAATTTCATGACTATATCTGGACTAACATCAAGAACTATATGCGTGCAAAGTTGCACCTCAGTCGTCATTGCAGAACACCTAGACCAGTCATCACTTCTGCCAGACATTCGACCACGTCTAATCCCGCAGGTGGGCAACCTCAGGCTTCTCACTGCTGATCCTTCCGGTTTCCTCGTCGTAATGACCATGACGGTCAGCAGCCTGCTCCATAGCCCCGTCGCCCATGGCCTCCCTGGCATCAGAGTCGTGAGCAACATCAAACTTGCCCCTCAAGTTCTCGGGACCGATGAACGTCAGAACAATGACGTACACGTACACACAGGCCATGAAGATGCAGATGACTTTTCCGTAGTCGTAACGAGTCTGGCCTTCAGCGTTGTCGGGAAGTGGGAAGTTCTCGCCGAGACGGGCCTCGATGGTCGACGAAGCCGAAGACACGAGGTTACCGAGTTGGTAGGATGTGCCAACGACGAAAGTACGGAAAGCCCCTGGAGATAATTCCATCAAATGGATAGGAATGACACCCCACGCTCCCTGGACGCAGAATTGCTGGAAAAAGGCAGCCGCGATAATGGAAGAGTCGCGGACGAAAGTATAGGGATAGAGCAGAGCGCCGCCTACGATGCAACAAGCGATGATGCTGATTCGACGACCAATAGATTGACTGCTGAACCCGACGACAGTGCCACCAAGCATGGCTCCCAGGTTGGCCACAACCTGGGTGACAGTGACCTTGTTCTTGGAAAAGTTGAGCTGGTTCTCCAACATGGTAGGGTACAAGTCCTGGCTACCGTGGCTCATGAAGTTGAAGCCCGCCATGAGAAGGACGAGATATACCAGCAGAAGCCAGTGGTGCTTGAGAGCGACTTTGCCTTCTTTAATAAAAACCTTTCCTTTTCCGTCCGCACCAGCAACTTCTCGTGCGTGTTGGCGTTCCTGGTATGCTTGTGTCTCGGGGAGCATCAGACGAGCGATGATGAAGAGGACGGGAGGGCAAGCGCCGAACCAGAAGAGAGGACGCCAGTCGTGAGATGTTGTATCGACGAGACCGCGAGCAAATGCGGCACATAGAAGGTATCCGAAAGCATACTGCAACAATTAGATAATGAACGTCAGTGAAGCGGGACATTGTTACTTACACCTTGCTGGAGCATACCACTCATAAGACCACGGGCCTCCTCTGGACAGTCTTCAAGGGCAGTGGCGGCAGCATTGCCATAAAGACCACCCATGGCAACGCCAAAAAGGGCTCTGCAGGCTAGAAACTGCTGGTAGGTTTGACAGAAACCAGTGCCCTGCATGATATTTCGTCAGCGACTGTTCGGACAAATCTCGTAGATCTCTTGGCATCGGCCTTGCCAAGCCCAATGTGACAGGGGTGTCTGTAGGGCTGTACTCACAAGTTCAAGAACAATGAAGAGAAGATTGTTAACCACAAATGGCCACTTTCGGCCATATCGATCACTCGCAATACCGAAGGCGATAGAACCAACGGATCGGAACATGAGAACGAGGGTGATACCCCATGTGATGTCGGTCTTGGATTTGTCGAAGGTTTTGCTGAGACTTGTAACGGTGAGAGATACGGAGAAGAAATCGAATGCGTCCCATGTCTACATGTCATGAGTTAGTGATTGCTAAGATGGCACAATTGCAAGGAGAACTCACCCAAGCTGCGAAGGCGACGAAGAAGAATGCCCATTGTTGGGAGTTCAGCATCCGCACAAGTTTTATGGGATTCGGGACATTGTGCATGGGAGGCTTGAGCGAGGAGAATCTTGTGGCTGCGTAACGACCTGGGGACATGCTCTCATGAGGTGCGCGAGTATTGTACTCGTCTTGAGTCATTGTGGGCTTTTGTTATCGTACAAGAGGTTGTAGGAGCAAGGTACTGAGTGAAGGCGTCTGGATGACAAGTGACCTTCTTGACTGCTATCAACAACGAACTGGTGTAAATGGAAGGAAGTCACCACGATGGATGTTGGGGATGAATGTGAGTGAGTGAGTATCTAAAGACACACAGTCAAAGCTGTTGATCCAAAGACCAACCTACTCCAAGTGAGGATCATCCTCACTTATATACTCTTCCCCATCTCCCCCAACTTGACCAACTGCTCCAAAACTCAATGCACCATCTCCGAACCGTGAGCGAATATCCCACGAACCTATCATACCCTTACGCAACTAGCATAAGTAGCATAAGCAAGGATCAGAAGAGTCGGGGGTCCCCATAATTCGTAGATTAGAGGGTGCCGGTTCCGGAGACGTGAGGTTTTGATTCGGCATCTACGAGGTAGTGCTGCAGATCTCGGTGTTGGGTGTGTGTTGCGGAGACAGGGATCTCTGCTGTTGTGTGCAATCGTTGCGAAGATCCACGTTACATCACCATCACACCGTGACAGATTTCCTGTCTCTGTTGCGATATCTCAGCTTGTGTAAGCCATCTCGATTTGTGATCAGGTATCCTCACGAACAACTCTCAAACTTGTTCAAGCAACGCAGGTCAGCAATATCAAAATGTATTCTTCTCCCTTTCGCTTTCCCCTTCACTTTCACTCCTCTAGTAGCCTGACGTTCAGGTAGTTAGTTACCTTCCCCTCACGACTTATAGACTAGACCTGCTTCCTCCGCACTACTCAAACCTGGAGAAGCTTCCTCTATCTCCAAGTCCTAGTCCCCGCCCCCCAATCCCGGCACACGACGGCCGATAAAGTGGGGAGAGATGCCCGGGGCTGTTCTAGTTCGAGTAAGCGGCCCCTGGGGGAATCGGCAATCCGGCATCTGAAGTGGAGCCCATGTGCCTACGACTTGACATCACCAGCTGGCATCACTCAACTTGCACTTTTGATCAAGAGCCATTTCGAGGAAGAATACGGGACGAATGACTCAGAGACGCCAACATCATTCGATAGATTCATCCCTAAAAATTAACGCCAGCTTCGTATACCAGTTAAACACAAACATACCCGTATCGTCTCCTCCTTGAGCACTGACCTTGCTTGAGCTTCGAACCCTCCTCCGCATATCACCCATGAAAGCTTCCCTCCCGCCTCTCTCCACAGCTTATGCGTTTCCACAAGCTTGTTTCCCCAGAAAATCCCTCTTAATCAAATCCAGCCCATCACTTACGCCCGCTGATCTCTCTAGCTCATCAGCTAACCCTTTTCCAATCCATCGTTTCAAGCTTGAATGTAACCGAATTCCAATCTCTTGCCGCTCCTTCCAGAAGTCTTCTAGAAGTCTGTTCCATCATATCACGAAACCCTCCACGTTACTTTACATCATTCCCGACTCCCCGAAATACAATGAGCCCCAGTGGAGGTAACGAGCCTCCTTTCAATCTGGTTACCGTACTCGCCACGTTATTTGTCATTTATCAAGATTTCCATTGCCGTCAGTTATCCTCGGCCATATTTCTAATGTCCGAATACCTTGTGCAGGTTGAAGATAGTGAATGGATGGGGTTGGTATCTACGGCCCACTAGCTCACGTCCTTCGCAACACTCCCGTAACCCGGGTTCATCATTCAGGGATATAGAGATAGACACTATCAGACCATGACGGGAG